TCCTAAGGGGGTACCAATAGGTCCTCAAGGGCTATCCTAGCGGAATACTGATTGGTCATAAAGGGCTATTATATTGTGATACCGATAGGCCCTGAAGTGAGTAAGGCAATAGGGAGATAAGGCTGCAAGGAATATAAGGCTATAACGTCGAAGGCTACATTGCCTATAAACATATGTGCGATATGAGATTATGAGGCCGTAGGACTATCTGTCTATATACATAATATAGAGTGTCTGTATGTATTTTACCGGATGAAAAGTTAAATGTCTGAGGTCATGCGTTAAAGGACAAAACAGCCGTGCAGTATGCACGGGTTCTCGCTAGTTGATTATAATTTAGATTTTGTTGCACAACAAAATCGAATATCATTGGAACATTTTCCATAGAGCTGTTACGCAGTGGAGAAGATAAATTTATAATTTTGTTAATGGTTTCTAAGTTTACAGAGAATATGATGAATTAAATCACAGCAATAGCATCAGTTGTAATGATCGAAACTGTCCTCGCAATCGAGTGAAATATTAAGAGAGAAGAAAAAAACTTTTTTTTTTGGTTGCATCGAATAAAGGTGATCAATGTCTCGTTCTCTTCATCTTTTGTGGGATGCGCAAGTGCGTGTGGATTGGTGTTGATGTGGATTTGGATGTGTATGTTGGTATCCTGTTGAATCATGTCTACATCCACTTTTTTCTGCTGTCGAGCGGGAAGCATCATAGACGAATAGAAAATAAGAGTCATGATATTATCTTATATGGGTTACCAGACGTTCTCTAATAGGAACTTCGCAAACTGTACTTTCGCTATTGGCGAACGTCCAGTGAACATTCGCCAATATACCCTCTGTACTTTCGCCAATTGGCGAACTTCTAATGACCTTTCTCGAATTTAAGTAGAACGGTAGTATTGGTTAGAGAGATTGATATCAACTATATTCTTAACTGTATGACTTGAGGTACATTTTTATAATGCTAGGCATAGTTCTCGTACATCAATTACGATATGAATGTTCCACTTCCATTAATGAAAATCTATTCGACTTTCGCTAATTCGTCCCCCTGGATATTCGCCAATTGGCGAAAGTTCAGTGGACCATCGCCAATATATTCCTTGGAAAATCGCCAATATACCGCTGGATTTTCGCCAATAATTGGCGAAGTTCCGGAATCCCTCTTATATAGTGCATGATACTGTACGTAGCTACCAATAACAAAGTAGTGAATTGAAAACAAGAGGAAAAGAGCACATGACGTCTAACATTTGTTAAAAGGAACTACATCCGTAAATGTTCAAGGACTGACTAGTTTTCATTTCTATCGGGTTGGTGCAAAAGTCTCCGCCGATTTTTTTTCTTTTCAATGTTTCATGATTTTATTGAAACAAAATGTCACTAATCGACAACATATATACCATTATTGTCTATGACATACTCCCATCTTTTAGGCAAATCGAGAATGCCATCTTCAAAGAATTTCTTTGATAAAGACGAAAAGAAACTCTCGAGGTCCGATTTTCGATGTAGTCGATCATCAAAATGCTTTTTCACCAGGTGATTGCGGAGCGACCGGAACAGATGATAATCAGAAGGTGCCAGATCTGGTGAATATGGTGGATGAGGTAAGACCTCCCTCCCTAATTCTTCCAGCTTCTGGCGAGTAACTTTTGAGATATGAGGTTTTGCATTATCGTGAAGCAATCGAACTTTTCGTCTTTCTGGACGATTTCTTTGTAGTGCAATTTTCAAATTCTCCAGTTGTTTGCAGTAAAGCTTCGAGTCGACCGTGGTATTAGGTGGTAGAAGTTCCCAGTAGATAATACCTTCGAAATCCCACCAGATCGACAGCATCATTTTTTTCGGATGCAGGTCGTTTTTTGGTTCAGGTTCAGGCAAATCTTCAGGATTGACCCATTGACGCTTGCGTGTATGGTTGACATACAGGACCCACTTTTCATCACCAGTGACAATCTGTTGAAGAAACTTGTGTCGGTTGCGTTTTGACAACAAAGAATTGCATATGGTGATTCTTTGCTGTATATTGTTCGAGCTTAGTTGATGTGAAACCCATGTTTCAAGTTTACTAACTTTTCCAATTTCAGGTAAATGCCGATCGATGGTGGAGTGATCGCATAGAAGCATAGCTGATAATTCACTGGTAGTTAATCGTGGATTGTCTTCGATCAGGACTTTTAATTGTTCAATATCAATTTCCAGAGGACGTCCAGACCTTGGACGGTCTTCCAATGACATATCACCTTCCCGAAATCTTTTAAACCAATCTCGACAAGTGCGATCAGCAACAACACCTTCACCAAATGCAGCACATATATTGTGCACAGCAGCACTTGCATTGTTCCCCAGTTGGAACTCATACAAAATGCAATGTCGAATATGAATAGAAATCTCTGACATATTTTAATATGGAATGTAAATAAAATCGGACATTCGTTAATATCACATTATAGTACTACACAGGCGGTATCATATGTGCGAAAACCACGCCTGTATAGTAGCGCTAGATGGCTTTAAAAGACTTTCAAAAAAAATCGGCGGAGACTTTTGCACCAACCCGATAGATGTGTGTGTATTAGTGTACGAGTGACTTGATGCTACTTCAGTGTGTGCTGTCTCTGCCTCGTAGCTACCTCATATACATTCCACATCCACATCCACACCCGCATCCGCATACCTGCACTCACTTAGTTAAGGTCTACCAAGCTTAAATGAATGCGATGACCTTCTTGACTTGAAAGGTATAGTGTATTTATTCAAAAAATGATATTAGAATACGGTAATCGAAGAATATTCTCTGATGGACAAGGAAACATATGTTGCTAAGTTCATCGGATGGAATTTCGTTCTTCAAAAAGTATTGTGCGACTCTTTATGATGAATTTCACTCGTGATGACCAACATCTTGCGAAGTTCGTCATCGGAAGATGTGACATGCATCGAGACATCATTGTTTGTAAATGGCAGTACTTGTTCCCCAGTTTTCTCGGTTTGTACGGAGACATCTTTAGCCTTATTAACATTCGTTAAGCGATGGTCCACCAGCTGAGAATCAATTGCGTGGTGCGGATGTTGAATCTGATCAGCATCGGTGGCTTGCACAGAGAGCTTATCTTCGGTAGCTTGTTCATAGTAGTCTTATTGAATCTGCTAATGTGGTGGATGCTTGGGTGTATCTTGCAAATGTTGACACTCATCCCGACGGATCGCGTGTTCCACCATAGGAGGATGAATGGATGGAGATTATTGAAGATGATCTAGTTAAAAAAGACATGGTTCATATTGTATTCAATCAATCTAGAAGGATACTCATGAGTTTTCTTTCTGACTTTTCGGACACTTTAAAAAAGCACATCAGCAACTTAGGTGAAGTCAGCTAGTAAAAAGACCAAATAAGTTTTAGATGCAATCTTACGCGAGTTTCCAATCCTGCAAGCTCTAATATATTTCATATGCTCGATATCGCCGTCTGCAGTTGAATTAGGGTGTTGCTGTGGGTGTGGGTGAGAGTGTGTATGTCTTCTTTTCAGCAATACCCACATTCATATCCACAGCCACAGTCACATACCCACACGCACACCCACACTCTCGATACGATTTGACTGATTTACAACGATCTAGTGGACGACGTATTACCTCCCACAACAGGAGCAACAGATAGTTTCACTTGCTTGTAAATGGCATGATCAGTAAAATTGTTGAAGTTGTTGAAAGTCATGGTGATGTGACAATGTATTAATGATCAGTGTCTTCGAAGCTTTTAAATAGTAAAATAATTTTCATTAAATCACTTTGTTCGATAAAGTTCGATAGGGTGTGGACTTTTGTCTACTATTGTATATCTTTATAAAGAAGTTCAATGGCCTTCTTTTGATAAAAACTGCCTGTTTCAATCATGAAGATAATAGAAAAGGAATTTCGAAAATACAACCAGTGTAATTCTTTATGTGCCCTTCGTTACTTTTCAAATACATTTAAAGATTAATTTATTTGAAAACATTTTAATACACTTACATTTTCTTGTTTATCAGATGAAAATGATGATAATATTGCTTTAACTTGATATAATCATCGTCAACTTGTTACCTGCACCTTTTTTTTCAAACGTATTCTCTCTACTAATTAGTGATATACTTTTTTGTTTTCACTTGTGTCAACATGCGTTTATCAACGACTGTTTGGATGCTTGATCATTTGTTTTCAAAACACTCTTTATCATCCTGGTTTTGTGAGTGAAGCTTTTCTTTAAATAATTTTTCGCAAAAGGATATTCGTGAACTTCATTGAGTGCTCTTATTTCAATGGTTTCCACAATATTTTGAAGCTTTGATTCAAGAATGAATAAGATCAAATGATTTCTATGAGTGACATCACATTTGATAAAACTTGGATGTATTGACGATTAATCGAGTTTACTAATATTCGTCAAAAATATCTTATAATGCATCATTTGGATATCACGACTTATTCAATGCAACGCTTCGTATATCTGAAAGGATAGATAATGGTTTGTTTGATGAAAGTAAATTTTGATTGATAGTAATCAAGATGATGCCCGTATTAATGAATCGAATTTTCTTCTAAAACTTGCATTAACATAAAAGGAAGATTCTCAAAAAAAAATTGAATTTTTCTTAGAATCGATTCCATCGATCAGATTAGTTGTTAATGTTCACGTCATGTTTTTCTCAGCTTGGAGAAAAGAAGTACCTAGCAAGAAAATAATATTTTAATGAAAGAAAAGATCAGGCAGCGTAGAGAGGTTAACATATTGGTAGATAAGTGGAATCTCATTCAAGAAAACTTCATGTTGAAACACAGCAAAAATTCCAAAAATATTCATCAAAAATTACACGCCAATTACCTTAATAATAGAGATGTAAAGATAACTTCGATCTAATAACTGACAAAGATTATTTTTTCACATGATATATTCAATACGCGACTAACTAGCATTGATCTCTTGTGTTTTGATTACAGTATAATTGTAGAATGCTGGATCATATCCATATCATATTTGTTATTAGCTTGATTACATATATTTCTGCATTACAATGGAAACAATTAGCCAGCAGTGATTTAGCAAATGGTCCAGTTGGTCGTACATCACCTTCCAATGTAATGTATCGTGACTCTCTCGTGATGTATGGTGGAGCGGTAAGATGAATTCTATCAATTTATCAGTCAAACTTTCGTTCTAATCGTTAAAAACCTTTTTTTTCTCTTGAATAAGAACCATTGTGGAAATTTTCGTCCAACTTATAATGATACTTGGCTATTTAATTTGACAACATTGCAATGGACTCGACTGTTAACTATTAATGATCCACCATTAGGTCGTTGGGGTCATTTTGCTTGGATTGATCCATTGTTTGATCCTGATTCGTTGCTTATTTTTGGTGGTCGAAATGATGAAAATTACGATTTACAAGCGCCATTTTCTGATGTATGGCGTTTAAATTTAAAAACATTGTTTTGGTCAAAATTAAATGATGGTATTCCTGGAAAAACGATTATGGTTGATAATAACGGAGCCATCGCTACACCCGAGGGAAAAATCTATTTTTTAAATAGCAATCGTGCCACACCAGATGTGTCTGCAGCAACTGAAATTTGGCAATACGATGTACATACGAATACTTTTACGTCGGTACCAATTTTATCGTCATTTATACCTAAACAAGAATGGTTATTTAGCGTGGTTGCCCTTAACTGGGTCGAGAAATCCAACAATCATCATATTCTCGATAATTTAAAGTCATTAGTTGTATATGGAGGATGGGAACAAAATCAATTTTACCGTTTCAATGTTCAAACAGGCAAATTTATCAATTTGACTGCAATTGGCACTAAACCACCTGACTCAGCTGGTCATATAGCAATTTCAGCCAGAACAGCAACTGAAGAACCAGTATATATGATGTGGTCAGCAAAGAATCAGCCTGAATTGTGGTTCTATTCCTATGCTGAGAATACTTGGAGTTCAATGAATCTTTCATCACCTGCACCATCACCTCGTTTATATACTCAAATTGTTCCTATTAGTAACAGTGGATCTATCAGTTTGCTTACTCCAATTATTTGGTATGTCGTCGGTGGTCATGATATCAATGCTCAAGTTTGTTTGAGTGATGTATGGCTATTGGGAAATCTTTAAGAACAATGAAAATTGATTTCTCAGGAACATTTAGTTATTCACTTTTTTCAAGAAAAACTGAAAAGAAATAAACTTGATATGAAGAGGCATTTTTATCGTTATCTATACAGAAGCAA